CTGGGGGGAAAAGAAAACAGAGCATATATAACACTTAACAAACCAACTATGCATTAAACACATCTACACATTTAACCATGTGCTATCATCAGTGATGGGAATAACGGCGTTATAAATAAACGGCGTTACTAACGGCGTTATCTTTTTCAGTAACGAGTAATCAAACGAATTACTGTTTCCCCCGTTACAACGCAGTTACCGTTACTGACAAAAAAAATGTGGCGTTACTATAATTGAACTCACTGAAGCGGCTTTCATCCGAGTAGGCTCTCTCTCCGCCATAAAGTTTTTTTCTCTGGTGTGTGTGTGTGTGTTTATGAGGCGCCGGAGAGGACAAAAGCGAAGCGATTGGCGCGAGCGCGCTCAATGCGCGAGAGAGACCGAATGTGTCCGAGAGCGCGCCCAACAGTTGCGCAAGAGAGACCACGGGTGTCCGAGCATTATATAGTTTGTTTATAAATAAATGACACATATCTGGAACGTTAATTAATTTACATGGTTATACAAATACAATCTAAAAAATTACCGTCAGGTAACGTTCTGTTTAGGTTATAAAATAAACCCGAAAATAACCTGCAGGCAACATTCACAGAAAACATCTTTGTTTGACCGGTTGTAAACACGTGCGGCAAACATGTCTAGAATTTGGTTTAAATAATCTCTGATGATGACGTTCGCTATAGGTTATAAAAATAAACCCCCAAAATATTATATTTTAGTATTATTATATTTTTTTTTTGGTAAATTGTTTAGTATTATATTGAGAGAGCACTTGTTAAACTGTTTACTTTTGTTAGGAAGAAAATACTCAGGCTACAGTATGTCTACTAGTTGTGAAGTTGTGTAACAGTTTTATCATTTTAATATGCACAAAGAGTATGTATATTTTTTTATTATTATTTATTCATTTTTGGTACATTTCTTAAGAAGCATAATTTATTTTTAAACTTATTTGTTGGCCAGTTGGGGTCTGTGCGATATTAAGTAAACCATCTATAATGTTTTATTGTTCTACTATAGTAATGCTAATATTTAGAATAATATATTGAATTTAATAGTCGTCTCTCACATTGTCCCACAGCAACATTAAAATAGAATAAATTATTATTATAAAACATTGAACACTAATCTACTCTATTAAGTGTCCATTTCATTAATTTAACATATTTAATACTGGGGGCATCCAAATTATTTGACATAGGCCTATTTGATTTTTTTTTTTTTTTAAGTAACGCAATAGTTACTTTCTCTGGTAATTAGTTACTTTTATAATGATGTAACTCAGTTACTAACTCAGTTACTATTTGTGAGAAGTAACTAGTAACTATAACTAATTACTTTTTTTAAGTAACATGCTCAACACTGGCTATCATCACTTTAATCCAGCGCATGCATCACGGTAAACAATGAACATAAGAGTATGTGCGGATACGAACGCTGCACTGACTGCAACCGTGCAGTTTTAATGGAGACCGGCCGGAAGTTCTCAACTGTAACTTTAGCAGTGTCCACTCACCTGCTGAGTTTAGCTCCAACCCTGATAAAACACACCTGAACAAGCTAACGTTAGTCAAGATCTTCGGGATTACTGAAAAGTAACAGTCTGATCTGGGTTGGAGCTAACAACTGCACGAAAGTGGACCTCGCGGGCCAAAGTTAACAGTTAAGAACTTCTACACCTGTTAATATAGGCCTGGGAAAAATACTCAACGCAAACGTTTGGTTATGTGTGAAACTACGACAAACATTAACATATCATACACCTCCGTCTTGCACCCGGTTCGCTTTTAACGTTATTTCAATCGGCGCCTATCGTTAACTTAGCAACCATTAAAGAAAAACGAGCGTGTGCTTCATTGAAATTAAAATTCACGCTTCTGTCTCGAAGCTCGTCTCCTTATAACACAGCTGTCTTATTGTTATTGACCATTTCATTAACTATAACAAGCAAATAAAGGGAGACTGTAACTTAATTACTTTAAAAACCGGAGCAAAATCAATTTAACAGGGCTTTCTGAACCGACGGCTGACGAAGCCCATCGGTGCTAAGTTACACAGCAGTGTTTTTAACTGAGGTAGCTGCTAAATATAACCCATTTTGCTTCTAGTATCAGTATTTAACACAAGGACTATACTCTAACCAATAGAAATATTAACTGCAATACTAAATATTTCAGTAAAATGATTTAAAAAATGTAAAAACTTAACTTACCTGAGGGTATGAACGGGCAGAAATGGCGGACTCCTCAGTTTGAAAAATTAACTGTCACTTGTAGGTTCATCTTCGCCAATCCACCAATAGGAATTCAAGGATGATGCAACGCATATACGCCACCAGAGGGCATTTTTACGATTATTATTTTTAATGTTCCCTTCGATAGATTAAACCCATCACTATATGGTACACAAAATAAAGAAAACACTTTGTTAGTTTATTATTAGGCCTATAATGTTTTATTACAAAATGATTGGTCAAAAAGGCAAACTATAATGTATAAGGAAATATAAGTTTCATGCTAATGTACAAACGTGCATAAAGAAATCTCAAATCATACATTGACTAGATATTAACATTTTGTTAACTCTGGTTTTTGACTACAGTCATTCTCATGGGTCTTCTTGACTCAAAAAGCTTTGTGAATGTGTTGTGTATAATTATTGTGTAACGTGAATCTTTAGTTTACACTTCAGTCATAAAACATGAATTATAGAACCATTTTAATAAAAAAAGGTTCTTTGCTCTCCAAGGGTTCTACATAGAACCATTTTGTCGGTAAAGGGTTCTATTGGCCAAGTATGGAACCCCAGGGTTCTATATAGAACCCCGAGGAACCCTTTTTTTTAAGAGTGTACAGAAAATAGAGCTTGTAGTTATCGTTATAGTTGAGTTGGTTTGAATTGTCACAATGGTGAATTCTTGTGTTTGTTTTGGATGCAACCACTCCAACTTGTCTGGTCATCGGGTCCACCGATTTCCAAACAAGAAACACAAAGATTTCCGTGCTTGGATACGTTTTGTCCAGGCAAAGAGAAGCAATTTCTCTGCCTCCTCGGTGACAAGACACACGGTGGTATGTGAAAAACACTTCACACCGGACAGCTACAACCAAGGAGATCTTATGGAATTTCGTATGGGATTTCGACGAAGAGAGTGGGTTAGGCTGGCAAATGGAGCTGTGCCATCGGTGCATGCAAGTCCACCAGCAAAATCTGGCGGGAGTGAAGAGTCTAACGTTAACGTTAGCACTAGCAGAGAATCTGCGCGTCGAAAACGGGAGCTTTGCACAGTAAGTCTTATAATACCTTATATACAAATTGTTGCATCGAAATGTAGCTCTGCATGTAATTTCTGCAAATGTATTTTTCTTGACGTTATAATGGATTAGTCTTGGCATGACTTTTGCTGACGGTAACTCTTCTGACTTGAGAAGTTAGCACCATGATGGCACGCCGTCAGCTTACTCTTGTTACGTTAACCCCATTAATCTCTTTAATAATAGCAATACAAATATGTGTTTTTTCCTGCGGGACGGGATAAGAGACAAAATCAATGCATCTCTATTATTGTGCGGGAATAAATTTGCGTGCGGCAGTGGACATACATATTGCGGGAGTGTAACACATACGTTGCGGGAACGGGCAATGGTCAGAAATCCGGCAGGGCGCGGGCGGGTACGGGTGGTAATGGTCAGAAATTCGGCGGGCGGGAACGGGTGGTAATGGTCAGAAATTCGGCGGGCGGGAACGGGTGGTAATGGTCAGAAATTCGGCGGGCGGGAACGGATGGTAATGGTCAGAAATTCGGCGGGCGGGAACGGGTGGTAATGGTCAGAAATTCGGCGGGCGGGAACGGGTGGTAATGGTCAGAAATTCGGCGGGCGGGAGCACAGGACTCTAAATGATGTTTTATTAACAAAGTTCGGGAGAAGCACGTTCAGATAATTAACACGGGTGGAGAGCACTCAGCAATCATGATTAAAATGTTTCATTAACAAAGTTCGGGAGAAGCACGTTCAGATAATTAACACGGGTGGAGAGCACTCAGCAATCATGATTAAAACGTGTACATATAGACTCAGCAGTCTCACCTCATTTCTCTGACAGTTTAGCAGCGTCCCTCCACCACCCCTTCTCCACTCTTCTAGTCCTAAACCACTTACATACGGGGGGGAGTACTCTGGGTTCGGGCCGAATTCCGAGCTCGGAGCCCTCCCCCCGGACAGCACGCCAAATACGCATTATACTTTATTCCCCTTAATTGTATGTAAGTGTGAACTCGTGAAGTTACCTCCTGACACTCATTTTATTGAGTTAATAAGATAATCATTTTGGAAACGCATCCAAGTAATGCTTTACAATATTAGTTTTCTGGTTTTCTTAGTTACATCGAAGTTGCCTTGGTTTTCTTTGACTAATCAAAGCTGGTATCAACAGGGCACATGCGAGGGGATGCAGCTCGGGACTACTTTGAAAAGATTTTGAAAAGATTAGCAGTCTTTTAAATAATACATGAATGGGGGATTTTCATGAAATGACTACATTTTTTAAAGTTCAAAGTTGTAATTTTGGTCTGTTTTCAGATTTTGGGAGAGAGTGTTGCCAGCAAAGACAGGGCGGGTGCAACTGCCACTTCAGATCCTGAAGATGATGGAGATGGAGACATCTCTACAATGGACCCTGAGCCAGTAGTGGTCCATCGTGGATCACAGTGCAACATAAGATGTTTACATCGTTCATTAGGTAGTTAGCTTATATCTAGCATTCACCATACATGCCATATACAATCACAAATAAGGATTACATGTCAAAATTTTTCATGATCTGCATGGTTACTATTTTGTAATTTACACTTTTCAGACAGTAAACATTAAAAATTATGAACTTCATAATGTTAGAAAAATATATTTTGTACTGGGTTGCATTAGATTGTACATTCATTGGTAACAACACATGCACTATGGTGAACAATTATTAAGATGAATCTCTTTCATCTAAGCTGTTCAGGTAAAGCCTCAGATGGTGGATGTGGGGACTCAAACTGAAAGGTTTGAGCATTGCAGATCAACTCCACTGGCCAGTCCTGAACAAAGTAATGATGAATGGTCATTTTCTGATATCATCAACCATTCTGGTGATATGTCATGGAGTCCAGGGGAGGAGATGTTGAGTGAGTCCTCTGAGGAGGAACCAGAAGAGCTGGAATCTCTCAGTGACCCAAAGTAAAAACCTTTTTATTAATGGAAACTGTTTCTGATTGTGTATCAAAAATGTCATAGTCAGAATTAATGTGATTTTTCCTTTTCTTGTTTTCAGTGCTGTTGACAAGTTCATTGTTTGCCAGAGGCAGTTGCTGTCCTTGTTCACGGTTTGCCCTGCATGCTGTGGGGAAACCCAGGGACACATAATGCACCCGGAAGGAACCTTCATAAAAGTTAAGCAGGTAACGTCTTAATTGTCAACTGTCTGTGAGGAGCTGAATTATAGATTGTGAATGTACAGTATGTATATTAATTATTTGTGTCTTAACTATACAGGCATTTCACTGCCTCATCTTAAAGCTGCTTGAGTCTTCTCTCATCTTTCAGGCCTGCGGAACTTGTGGTTATGAGCGTTACTGGCAAAACCAAGAAAAGGTGCATCGAAACATGCCTGCCTGCAACCTTTTACTCAGCTGTGCCATCCACTTCTCAGGTTGCATGGCTACTCAGACCATCAGGATGCTGAAGCTGTTTGGACTGCAGTGCATAAGTCCCGGCACTTTTTTCCGCCATCAGCGCTATTACACTATCCCTACTATCGTGCAGGCCTGGAGGAATGAGCAGAGGGGGATCATCAGGGAGTTGAAGGAGACTGGAGGTGGATTGATCCTGTCTGGTGACTGCAGGTAGAATGATCCAGCTCACGTCACTGATGTAGAACAGGTCAGTGTGTTTTTGCATTAACCTCTAAATGTAACTGTTTTTGACGTTCTTAGATCAGATTCTCCTGGACACTGTGCCAAATATGGTAGCTACTCCTTGATTGAGGATCGGATTAACAAAGTTTTGGATGTTCAACTTGTCCAAGTAAGTTGATGTCACACAGAAATCTTGTGTCTGATTTAGTTACTGATATTACTGATACTGTTCAGTAATAATCAATTGGTTTTACAGAGCTCAGAAGTCCCAAGCAGCTCTTGGTGTGAGCTAGAGGGTCTAAAGCGGAGTTTGCAGTTCCTGATGGACCAAGACATGCAAGTGTCTGCTCTGATAACAGACAGAAATCGGCAGGTAATGATGCTAGGAGAGATCTAAAGCTGAACAGTATTGACATGCACAGTATCACTCAAAATAAATTCTAAATTCTATAAAATCAATTTGTGTGTTCTTTGTTTTAGGTGGCCAAGTGGGTACGTGAGAAAATGTGTTCAGAAGGAACAAGGCATTTCTTTGACGTCTGACATATTGGGAAAAGTATGTATTGTGATGTTGGTAGTTCTTTATAACAGACTTGTTTTTTGTAGTTAAGTTCACTTTCCTAATAATTAGTTTGCTCTGCTCTGTTTGTCTGCTCTGGAACAGGTGTACAGAAAGCACTGGATGCTGCTGCAAAAGAGAGGGACTGTGAGGATCTGAAGCTGTGGAGGCCAGCCATTATCAACCATCTCTACTGGACCGCAGCTTCCACCCCTACAGGAGATCCAGATGAGATGCAGGCAAAATGGCAGTATGATAAATCATGTACAGGACATACATGAACACAGCACTCCTGCATTTACCAGCTGCGCATATCCACCGTTGGAAGGAGAGGCAAGAAACAAGGAGTGGCTTGAACCAGGTACAACATAGTAGCCTATGTTAAAAGATGTCAAATGTTTTGAGGCTAAACTTTTTTCAGTGCTTGTTAAGTTTAGTTTGGTTTTATCAATACGTAACCCCATGTGTACTAATAATTACTTGTGTTATGAAATGCAACAGACTATATGACAGAATATGTTTTATTCAGGATCACCAGCAGCCACTATACTGGAGAGTGTAGCTGCCAAGAAAGCACTGGTAAAGGATATTCGACAATTGTCGCCTCAGCATCAGACATTCTCCCTGGAGGCCTACCATTCCCTCATTCTGCACTTTGCTCCCAAACACACTGGCTTTTCTTTTCTTGGGATGTACAGCAGGTAGTGTTATCACTTAAAAGTATCAATACTAATAAAATTAGGGTTTTTTTTTAGTGCTGGGCAACAATTAATCGCATCCAAAATAAAAGTTTGTTTACATAATGTGTGTGTACTGTGTATAATTATTTTTTATATATATAAATACACACATATGCATCTATATATTTAAGAAAATGTTATTTATATATAAAATATTATATTTATATACAGTATAATATTAATTATGTATAAATATATATACAGTATAAACATGCACATTTTTCTTAAATATATACATGCATATGTGTATATTTATATATAAAAAATAATTCTCTTAAAAATAAAACCCCTACTGCAACCTCTTCAATGTCTGACTCCATTACGAAGAGATGAGATTTACCGGCCGTTGCGTCACGTCCGATCAGAGCGTTTTTGACAGCGGAAGTAATTTTACTCACAATTTCTTTTAAAAAACTTTTTTAATGCACATTTATGATTAATTTCTTCACGCAAATCGAGTTCCTACACTATTTATCTACACGTCTATTCACAGGGATCTTCAACTTGAAAGATAGGCTTTAAACCTGAACCAAAGATATCAGACCGATTAAACATAAACATAGCACTGTCTATTATGCTTAATTCTAGGTGCTGAATACTATGTTATAAAGTCTTTAAGCCACTCTGGGGCTTTCACCTCTCTCCTTGGGTACGGAGAGAGGTGAAAGCCCGTGATACATATCCTCTGTATCCTCCCCCCCTCCCCTTCCCCTTCCCCTTCCCCTTCCCCTTCCCCTTATTCTGGCCCTGCTGCCTGTTCCGTGTCCTCCACGGCTGGTGGTGGGGCTTGTATCTCTGGGAGGGGTCTGCGGTGTGCTTTGTTTCTCTTCACCTCTTCTGAGTCCGTTTCCACTAAATATGAGCGGGGAGTGTCTGCTTTTCAAATCACTGTGGCCGATTCTTTTGTATTTGTGATCCAGACTCGCTGACCTGCTTTTAGCTCCGTTCTCACAGTAACTTTGTGTCTGTGATTAAAGTCAACTGTCTGTGTGTGTTTCAGTTGTTTGTCCTTGTCTGCAAAGGCCTTCCTGTTTGGCCATTTAGGTTTGAGTTGAACAGGTGAGACTGGCAATGGTGAGCGCAGTCTCCTGCCCATCAGGAGTTCTGCTGGCGATGGTCCGTGATGCAGCGGTGTGACTCTGTAGGCCAACAGAGCCCTGTATGGGTCAGCATTTTTCTTCAATAGGCCCTTGACAGTCTTCACAGCCCTCTCTGCCTCTCCATTGCTCTGTGCAAAGTTTGGGCTGCTGGTCACATGTCTGAAATCATAGTCCATGGCAAATGAGGAGAAAGTGCCTGAAGAAAACTGAGGGCCATTATCAGTTATTAGTACTTCAGGAACCCGATGTCTAGCAAAAATGGATTTAAAGCCATTGATAACTCCTGCTGATGTGGTTATTGGGGTTTTAATTACTTCAATGTATCGAGAATAGTAGTCTACTAACAATAAGTAAGAGTCATTTTCCCAATAAAACATATCAGCTCCTACTTTCTGCCAGGGTCGCTGTGGCAGCTCTGAGGGTATCATTGGTTCTGGGTGAAGTGGTTAGTTTTTAGCACACACCTCACACTGGGCCACCATTCTTGTGATTTGAGCACCCAGTCCCAGCCACCACACTGACTGCTGGGCCCTCAGCCTGCATTTGGTTGTCCCCATATGTCCCTCGTGTAGTCTGGACAGCATTTTCTTCTGTAATGTCTCTGGTATAACAATCCGTTGCCCTTTCATCAGAAGGTCACCATTCATGTGTAGCTCACTGTGGTGGGCCCAATAGGGTTTCAGTTGCTGGGACAGCTCTTCTTGCCGTGGCCACCCTCTCTTGCACTGTGACATCAGCTGGCTACAGATAGAATCCCGCTGTTGGTGCTCAGCTATCTGTTGAAGTTTAGACTGGGATGCAGGTAAGTTTTTGCGTATCATATTGATGAAGACCTGCACTTCCCCTTCCAGTTGTGCCTCTTCTTTGGTCAGTGGCCGTCTCACCGGGGCCCTGGAGAGTGCGTCTGCTGTGATGAGAGGCCTTCCCTGGCACGTAAATTATCCTGTACGTGAACCTCAGCAGTCTGAGACGGAATCGCTGAACTCTGGGAGGTAAGTCATCCAACGCTTCAATGTCTCCCACCCTGATTTTGTGCCCCACAAACAGGACTTCTGGCTGTGCAAAGGTGCACTTTTCATTTAGTGTTAGACCCGCCTCCTGGAGACATGTCAAAAGATCTGTGAGCCGTTCATCGTGTTGGGCCCTATTCTCTCCACATATGAGGATATCATCTGCATGGCATATCACTCCACTTAGCCCCTCTAAGAGCTGGGACATGCGTCTCTGGAAGTGTTCTGGCCCTGAGTTAATTCCGAAAGGCAGAACATTAAAGGGGTCATATAATGCCATTTTTGTACAAGTTAATATGAATGTTTAGGGTCTAAATAAAAACTTTGTAATATACTTGTATTAAAAATTCTCATTAGTATTTTAAGAAAACACTAATTTTCCCTGGTCAAAATCAGCTCTGTTTTCAGCACGCCGTTTCAGTGCATATGCCTTTAAATAATAAACCCCGCCCCTGTATTCTGCGGGCGTTTAGACACAGCGCACGTGAAGTGTTGCCTTGACAACAGTTGAGGGTATATTTTGGAGAAAGAATGGCAGTCTCTTGGAGTCTCTTGAGGACACATCTGTGGAATCGCATCAGTTTGAACCGGAGTCGCACCCGGAACAAGATGACGGCCGCAAAGAAGTTCGACAATTAAGGCTCGAACAGGACGTTTCTGAATGGTTGGTTAACGTAATGTCACTTTGATCTATCTTTGTATGCACTGGCAGGGTATGCACTGGCAAATACAGGGTAGATGTTTACTGATGTATACGTTAGTTCATTGACAGATTGATGTTACAACTAATGGTCATGGAAAACTTGTTCCCGCGATTTGCAAAGATTAATATAAAGGTTAATACAACTTTACACTACCTTCTTCTGGAGGTGCAGAGGGAACATAAATAGTTGGTACCGATTATTTTTTCAGGAGCAGCCTAGCAAAACCAGCTTTAAACTGACCCTCGTTTATAAAGAAGTCTACGATAAATTATTCGCGCAAACATGAAAGCATTGACGTTGATCGTGGGGAATATTCCCATCGTAAACAAAACTCAGCCACTGCGTCTTCAGCGGTTCAAATTTAGGAACATCAAAATGATTTCTGTGTTTGTTATTGCACCCAAGAACAGAACAACACAATCGCAGACGCCATTCTGCTCCAGTGTATCAACAATGACGGACTATGATGAGAGCTCGCTCAGGGCGGGTCTGTGTTGAAACTGCTGTCAATCAACAACCGTGGGCGGGGCGTCATGCGCCGTGTGACGTCACACGGTGAAACGGCTCGATTTGAGACAGGGGAATACATATAAGGAGATTAAAACAAAACCACTGGATGGATTTTTATCATTAAATTATGGTTGTGTGCAGGCACTGCCAACACACATTGCAGTACAATCAACTTGTAAAAGTGCATGTAACATTATATGACCCCTTTAAAACAAAATCGGCCAAAGGGGGTGATAAATGTTGTGAGCTCCCTGCTCTCCAGTGCTAAGGGTATCTGCCAAAACCCACAACGTGCATCCAGCTTTGTGAACACCAGTGCACCATTCAGCTGGGCTAATGATTGGTCCACTGAGGGTAATATGTGTCTTTCTCTGCACACTCCCTCATTGAGTTTGGTCAGGTCAACGCAGATTCTTATCTTACCATTGGGTTTTGGGACCACTACTATTCCTGCACACCAATCAGTGGGTTTTTCTATCTTTGAGATGACCCCCATCTCCTCCATTCTTTCCAGCTCTTCCTTGACTTTGTCAGTTAAGGGGATTGGTACGCGGCGAGGGGTGGTCAGAGCATAAGGGATGGTGTCCTCATTCAGACGGATTTGGTAATCACCTTCAAGTCTCCCTAATCCACTGAACTCCTTTGGAAACCTCTTTTTGAAGACCTCCCCTGAATCTGCTTTCTCTCCCTGTTCTTCAACTGCATCCAATCGCTCAATGAGGTGCAGTTCTGTAAGTGCTGGTAAGCCCAGCAGTGGCCTGGCTAGGTTATCAATGACAAATACAGACTGAGTGGCCTTTTTATCTTTACTTTCTAGTCTACTCTGTATCTGTCCTACCACAGACAGTATCTTGTTATTTGGGCCATACAGTCTTTTTGAGGTGTGAAGTAGAGGACCATCTCTACTACACTTATATCATTTTGTGGGTATCGCGGTCACTGCTGCTCCTGTGTCTAATTTAAAAGAAACAACTTCCCCATTAATTTTGATGTCTGAGTACCAACCAGCACAGTCTGCCTTCACCTCACCCAGGAAAAGGCTGTCCTGGTAGAGTTGCTCCTCCTCATCTGCCATCTCATGCACAGGCTGCTTGGATTTGCAGACAGCAGCAAAGTGTCCTCTTCTGTGACATTTCCTGCATTCAGCCTCCTTGGCCGGGCAATCTTTCCAACTATGAAATGGCACTCTCCCACATTTATGGCACATCCCTGATGTTCCAGTAGCATTATGTTTTGCTCTTCATTCGTAATTCCACTCTTTCCTTCGAGCAGGCGAAAGCGCGTGCACTTC